GGCTGTACCACATCCGCGATGAGCCAGGCAGCTGAGTCATGTTCTCCCTCCCATTAAAAAGCAGCAGAAAGCTGAATGAGGGAAGGAACAGTTCCAAATTCCACATACCATGGCCTCGGGGTGAAGGCTCACTGATGGGGAGTCAGGCACTGCATACAAAGGAGCAAAGACCTTCAGTGAATGCACTCCTGGGAAAAAAACAGGAATGACAACAGCCTGAAGTGAGACCCTCTGCAAAGAATCACAGTCATGGAATGTGACTGGGTTGGAAGAGACCTTAAAGATCTTCTTGTTCCAGCTCCTCGCCATGGGAAGGGACACTTTACATGAGGCAAAATCATGGTCTAATTCTGAATGCTGAGCTACCCTCTCTCCCCCTGAGTCAGATTTTGCAGAGGTATGAAGGCTACTTTATCCAAAGGAGACAAAATGTAGTCAGGGGTCCATAAGCAGAGATTACAAAGTGCCAGGGAGCAGGGAGTGGGCATGGAGGCTGTGAAACTTCATTGTTGTACCTTGCAGCAGAGGTAGAAGGTCCACCACAGCTTGGCCAAGAGGAGTGATTTTCTCTGGTTTTTTCTTCTCCTTTGGCATCACTTCTAGCACTGTCACTAGGGAGATAAAAAGAGAGGAGCTGGCAGAATTCCTTGGACCAGCAGGTCAGGCACCAGGGAGGGTCTGTGTGAGCTCTGGCACAAGCTCCTCTTCACCTCCCAAGGCTGACAAGCACAGCAAAGCCAAAGGAGCATGGGCCAACATGAAAGGGGATTCTTCCAGCTGGCAGAGATGGACAAGAAGTGCTGAGAGCCTCCCACCACTGCTGCTGACGTGCTATTCCTGAACCAGTGACTCCTGCAGCGACAGCACCCAGCCCCGAGGTGGGAAATCTGGAACCAGCTACTTACAGAGCAGTGGTTTCTGCACAAGGACATCCAAGGAGTTGGGCCCATCGGGGCTGCACTCAAAGCTGGTGCTGAAGTCGTATTCTGCTGTGCCATCTGGCAGCACATCAGTCTTGGAGGAGTCTCCCAGGACTGCTCCGTTGTACTCCACACTCACCAACGTAACCAGCAGATTGCTTTTGAGAGTTTTCTGTCAAAAAAAGAGCTCAGAGAGCAGCTGGCTCTGCAGCAGCATCCCAGCATCAGAGTTCCTCTGGCAGCAGCTCAGGTCAATGACCAGGACTGGGCTCACTTGTCTGTTCTACCACAGGAATGAGGAAGAGGAGCAGAGCTTGGCTACACTGAGACCTCACCATTCCCTGTCTTTAGGAGGGAAATTTCCTGTTACACCATGCTGTGATGCCCCAAAGACTATCAGGAGCTGTGGCAAGGGAGATAGAGAGGTTCAGGCTTCACCTCAGGAAAGACACATCTAAAACAAGTCCCAAAATACTCCACTGAAATTTCTGTGCTTCCAGGAAGCTTGAGACCTTTGCTGTCTCCTAAGAAAACAGTTCCTGAACTACAGGGATGAGCTTACAGGACACCTGTGGTTGTCCTGAAACGGACAAGAGAAAGCAGCCTCAAGTTGTACCAGGGGAGGTTCAGGTTGGGTATTAGGTAAAATTTCTTCACTGTAAGGGCAGTCAGGCACTGGCACAGGTTCCTCAGGGAAGTGGGGGAATTCCCATCCCTGCAAGTGTTCAAAAGACACGTGTATGTGGCACTTGGGAATATGCTTTAGTGGTGTCCTTGGCAGTGCTGGGTTAAAGGTTGGACTTGATGGTCTCAGAAGCCTTTTCCAACCTAAATGATTCCATGATTCTATGAAATCAAAGGAAGGGCTCCAGCAAGCTCTTAGGGAGCTCTGCAATTTGTTGTTACACTACCTTCATACCACTTGCTTTATTCAGAGATGAGTAAATTCAGATTTTACTTTGAATTTCAAATGTCTAAACAGAGGGGCTAAAACAGGGGTGGAGAGGGACAGTGAGGGCACAGCACATGGCAGTGGGGACCCACACGGGCAGCATCGAGCACCTCCACAGCAGAGGAAGTGCTGGGCAGCAGAAACACAGTTTAGCTCTCAATCCACAGAAAAGTGTTTGAACACAAGGACCACTGTACCCAAACCCAGCTTTTCCTTAGTGCTGAGCCACAGGGATGCCTACCCCGCCCTCAGCTCCCTCTCTCCCTGTCACTGGGGTAATTAGTTCCATGCTGGTTCTTACACAAAAAGAGATCTCTTTCACTTGGTTTTAATTTTCAGCCCTTCTCACTGTCTCCTTGAGCATACATCCTATGAATGGCTAAACAGAAGAATCCAATTAACCTTTCCCTGTACCATTAATTATCCAAGACTCCTCTCTCATCCTTTTCTAAGTTGCCTCTAATTAAGCAGATTCCACACTTATAGCTAGAAGTGGATTCCACATTCTTACACCCAGATTTTTTTTTCATACTGTTGCTGTGATTATTGCCCTTTTGTAACACCTCCTCCCTTTTGTACAGCCCTTTCTCACGGCGGAGCAATCAGAACCACAAAGCAACATTCCAGATGCAATCAATCCAGCAGTCTTTTCTTCCCAGCTTTGTTTATCCTCCTCTCACCTCATACCTCACCTAAGCTGCTGTTTGCTGAATCCATCAGTGTAAGAGGTACTTCAATACTACAATGTGAAAGCCTCAAGCAGGTGCTTTTGGATTGCTTTTTCTGTCTGCTGCAGGAGCAGAAGCAGGGATTTGCATGTTTTCTGCTTGCAGCAGGAGCTGAGCTTCTCCTCCACATTCCTTCCCAAATGTCAGTTCCTCTGGAAGACTTTAAGGACAGCTGGGTGCATCACATGGAAATCACAGCACTGGTGGTTTGATTGGCACCAGCTCATAGCCTTGAACTGGATCCACTGCCTTTTTAAAACCAGAGCCACCCTATTGCTTCCAATATGATTTACACAGCTGGAGCTGGGATGGAAATCTGGCTTTACACCCAAGGTGAGGTGCTTTCACAGGTTTTTGTCTCACTGATCACATTTTTGCTGTGTTCTGCTTAAAAAACCTACCATTTCCATACAGTTAGAGGAAGCAGAGAGATACATTTCACCCCAGTATCTCTGGCCTGCTGCTAGGGAGGTGTGTTCCCCAATTTATGTGCCTCACAAGATTTCTCCTCTGTGTGAGCTCCTCAGCAGGGAGCAGGAAGCCAGTGTGGCATTGCTGAACCTCTGATACTCCCACCACTCCTTCCTTTAGCCTTATCACCCCCCGCCTGCTCTCACAGGGGATCCCTGTGCACACAGAATTGCTCTGGCCTTGTTTATTAAATTAGTAGAGATATTTTCAGAACTTTACCAGGTTCTGCGCATTCACGACTGTGATCTGTACTGGTATTGGCTGTGACATGCTGGGAAGAGCTGCAGCAACAGGCTCCTTCCTACCAGTCAGCCCCGCAGGGACCTCCATGGCTCTGCAGGAGAAAGAATGAGGAAAGAAACATGAAACTGCTCCATTCCTCTCCTAGATACCTCTGCAGGACACAGCATTGCAGGCTGCAAGCGCTATTCAGGGCTTGGCTGTCAAAACACCATTGAAAGCACAGGGCTTTGGCAGTGACGAATCTCTCACGAGGGGCAGGGGGAGGACTGGGAAAAATGTAATGTGAAAATTATCCATCTCTGTAAGCTTCACCCAGCTGCAGCTCCCAGGAAAGATTAGTTGTGCCAGGCTGCTCTTGGCTCCCGGTACATCCCTGGCCCTCTTTTACTCCCTTTTTAAATTAATGGTGACCCCATGGGCCAAAGGCCAGCGGCCACCAGCCCATCCCTTCATGGCTCCTAAATGCCGTGGGCACCAGGCTCCTTCCACTCCTCAGTGTGGGAATCCAGAGCTTCCCTCTGGCTGCCCTGGAAGGTCTAGGAACCTGGCAGGGGGTCAGGAACCCCCTGGACAGAGCCCCCAGAGACGCTGTCTGTGACCTCTGTCCATGGAAAAGAGTTTTCAATCTTACAGCATGAATTACCAGCTCTGAGGGTTTGATATAAGTAATAATTAAGTGTGGCACGGGTGCAAAAGTAAAATTTTAGGATTCTAGATGAGGGGTGCAAAGGGGACAAGATGGAGGAAATTGGGTGTGCCTTGTCCTTTTTCTCCTTCTTCATGCCCTCCATGTCTCGCTGTGGTGTTGGCATTTTTCTGTTGGTTCAGGCTGGGGACACACTGTCCAACGTAGGTGACAGATATTGGCACGTTATTGTAAATGCAGCCCAGGGAGTTTCTGGTATTTAATGTTTGTCACATCCCACTGAGGGCAGAGCCCCACACGCTGCCCTGCAGGACAGAGCTGGGCAGGGCAGCAGAACATGTTAGAGATAAACAGAATAAACAACCTTGAAACCAGCACAGACCAATTATGGCTTCTGCTTTGGCAGCGGGGCTGACAGAGACTTTCTACAATCTCGGAATCATCAATAGCACAGATTCTGACACCTCAGGCTCGTGAATCCCTCAGGATTCCCTCAGGGCTGCGCAGGGACCCCACGGCCCCCTCGCCTCACCCCAGGGCCTGGCAGCGCCCTCAGGGCAGCACTGATGGGCCCGGGGCTCCTCTCACCCTGCTGGGCTCCTGCAGCCCCTCACCGACGGCCCGGGGGTCTCCAGCAGCCCCTCACCCACGGGCCTGGCGGCTCTCCTGCCCCAGAATGGGGGGAGAACCTAAAGCCCCTCACCGACGGTCCCGGGGGTCTTCCCGAACTAGGGTGCACTACAGCCGAGGTGCTCTGCTGACCCGAGGGCTCCTCACCCACAGGCCTGGAAGCTCTCCTGCCCCAGAGCGGTCCTGCAGCCCCTCACCGACGGTTCTGGAGGCCCTTCCGCCCCGGGGGGATCCTGCAGCCCCTCACCGGGAGCTCGCCGGGGCACCGTGCGGCGCCGGGGCTCGAACCTGCGGCTCGCCCGGCCCGGCGGAGGGCTCGCGTCCCGTCACCACAGCGACGGGGCCGCTCCCGCAGGCCCCCGAAGCCTCGCGGGACCCCGGCCCGGCCCCGTGCGCTGGGGGCGTGCCCGTGAGGCCGCGCCCGCCGCCATGATGGGTGTGGGCAGCCCTGACCGGCCCCGGTGCGGCGGGGGTCCCCCCGTCCCGTCCCGCCCCGTCCCGTCCCGAGGGAGCTGGCGGTGCTGCACGGCCACCACGTCCCCTTTGCAGCCTGGTGTGCCCGGCTGCTGCCAGAGCCCACTGCTGGCCTCCCGGGCTGGCACAGGCCGCCCAGGCACTCCCTCACACCCGCTGGGGGCCCTGGGGCGGTGGGAGCGGGGTGCCCGCGGGCCGGGCTGCGGTGGCGTCCCTGTGGCGGGGGCAATGACTTTGTGTCCCCGTGGTCACGGAGGGCTTGAGCCCCCCGAGCTCCCCGCAGGTTTGCAGTGTGGTTTAAGGCACAGGGTTTTAGGGCACGCCACTGCCAGCAGCGCGGCTTGTGGGGCGGGAGCCGGACCCCCGGAGCGGGTTGGCCCGTTCCCGGGGAGGGGATGCCCAGAATAGCTCCGCTATCTGATTCCGAGGGGCCACGGCCGTCTGCTCCGCCGGCTCCCGGGGCTGACATTTGAGCCCAGCCGCGGGACGGGACGGGCTCCCCAGGCCCTCCGGGACAGCAGCGGGATGGCGGGCGGCAGGCGGCGCGGGGGCGGCGGGCGGCGCGGGGGAGCCCGGCAGCACCCGGGGACCCCCGCCCCGGCCTCCGCGCCTCTCTCTGCTGCAGCCACCACGGCCCAGCCACAGGCCGGCGCTGCCCCCAGAACCGGCCGCTCCAAGAAGGCCCCGGTGGAGTCAGCGGTGAGGGCTCCAGACGTGGACTCGCTGGGCTTTCAGGCCATGGACCGCAACGTGCCGGGGCTGTCCCACGTCATCCTGCAGAAGCTCAACATGAAGAGCTATGAGGACTACAAGTGAGTCAGCACCCATGGGTGCCTATTCCCCACCCCTTCCCCCGGGAAGAGCATCCCGTGTGTCCCCAGCTCCCATGGCTCATCCCACCCTCTCGGCTCAGCCCACAGGGAGCTCTTGGGTGGGCCCCTCCGGAGTGCCTGGCTCCCTCTCCCTACCCAGGCCAGGATGCTCCTGATTGGAGCTAAAAAGCTTGGCAGCCTCAGAGGACATCTGCCCCACCGTTGTGGCACAGGGCTGGATTCTGCTCACCTTCTGACATCTGCAGGTCTGCCATGGATGGGAGGAAGAGAGGCAGCGATTTCGGCATCCGGACGTATTTTGACATGTTCCAGAAAATGGAGGACACCTTCAAGTTTTGTGTTGAGTGCAAGAAGCTCCCTAATGCCCTCCCGGACCCCAAAAGCCTCCGGCGTTGTAAAAGGTATGGTGGGGAGATGGTCTGATGGCACAGGGATGGGTGCATCCCTCACTTCCAGCCTGGTAGCTGGGGTGAAGTGAGGGGTCTCTGACCCCAGTGCCCACCTCCAGCCACAGGGCACCCCCAGAACAGTGACACAGCCCTGAGGGAGTGTGGCAAGGAGCCAGGCTTGGTGGGCTGGATTGTGCCCCCCCTCCCAATGGCTGGGCATGCTGCCTGTCTGCCCAGGTGCCAAAATGTGTACTACTGCGGCGTGGCGTGCCAGCGCGCCAACTGGCCGCTGCACAAGAAGTTCTGCAAGAAGCTGAAGCTGGTGGCCCTGGACCGGCTGGTGGAGTGGCTTGTCTTCACAGGTGAGGGATGTGTCCCCCTGGACCTGCCTGACCCCCATCCCCGGCTGCACAGGTGCTGTGGTGGGATGTAGTGTCTTTTTGCCAGCCCCACTCCCACAGCACAGGTGGGACAGGCAACCTGGGCTGTGGCACCACCACTGTACCCTCCAACCTCCTCCTGACGCCCCAGGAGACATCCCGTTTCCCACGGACACCTGGACAAAACCTGCCCGGGACGTGAAGGGCTGGGAGGACTGGTTCTCCATGCAGGAGCAGCTGGAGGAGAAGCTGGGTGCCATCGTGGCCGGGCGGTACATGACCCTGCTGTGGGCCAACGCCGGGAAGCCGCGGCCGGAGGACGCGGAGCTGCGGGAATCCATCCGGCGCCTGGTCACCGACTTCCACTCGCGGCCGCTCACCATCGGCCTGGGACTGCGGCTTTTTGGCATCGACCCTCTCACCAGGCCCCTCACCGTGCACGTGGTGGGGGCTTCCCACGTGGAGACCCTCAACACGCGGCTGACGGACTACGACGAGCTGACACGGATGTTCCCGGGGCACCAGGGCGTGGAGATGGTGATGGTGGGGGTGGACGTGGTGGACGGACCCATCATGAGGCCACCCCTGACCACGCTGGCACCCCGGGGAAAAGTCTATCTCAGCAGCTACAAGGGGCTCTACCACGATTTCTGGGAAAGCCAAGTGGAGACCAAGCTGGCCGCCCCTCCTGACCTGGTGGTGGGCTTTCACCCGGGTAAGTGACTGCACCATGGAGGGGTTGGACCCTCACATCCCACTGCTGGAATAGGGACAACCACAGGGCACATGGGCTCAGGGACCTGAGCACCCTGGCATCACCTTTGGCTTGGCCTGAAGGTGGCCTGGGACATACTCAGGGCTTTGCACCAAGGCACATTGGGCAGCTGGGGGGAACCCCTGGGACACAGCTGCCTTGTCTCCCCATCAGGCACTCTGTCTTGCCTGTGTCACCCATCTGCAGGTGAAATGCATCCTTCCCTTCAGGTCTCGGTGCTGTGGCTTAGCCCAGGTCCCAGAGTTTGGGGTGCCCCACATACTGGTGGGGAGCCAGACCCCACCTTGCTGAGGGCTGCCAAACTCACTGCATACTTGGAGTGTCCAGCACAGAGTGGATGCAGTTAGAGCCGGCTTTCCCCGGGGCCAGGGTAGGATGGGAAAGAGGTGAAATCCTCATGGCTGTGTCCCCATAGGTTTCCATGCCTGCCCAGACCTGCTGGCGGGCTGGCTGCCCACCCTGCTGCTGCTGCGGGACTATCGCCTGCCCGTGCTCTTCACTGTGTACAGGTGAGCACAGCCCCAGCGCCCCTGTGAGCTGGCACAGGCACCCAATCACCACGCCTGTCCTCTCTTCTGGCAGTGAGCAGGAGCTGAAGGCCTCCCTGCAGATCCTTGTGGAGCTCGAGACACACATTGTGGGTTATGCCAGCAACCCCTTTGCCTCACTGCGGCCCGAGCAGGTCTACTCCAGCCCCAACAAGCCGCCCGTCTACTGCAGCTCCCACTACATCGCCCTGCTGGGAGCAGAGGCTGTGCCGGGGGCTGAGGAGCTGGAGGATGATGATGGCTGGCAGGGAGGAGAGCCCAGTGCTGCTGCTGTGGCTGGGGGCACTGCCCCAGGGCTGGGCTGATTCCTGCCTGCCCTGACCGTGCGACCTCCATAGCCTCCAAAGCCTCGCTGCCCATCCAGGACCCCATCCTGGGATCAACGATCCAGAAATGCCTCACTGCACACATGGAGGCCTGGGGGATGCAGCACCCCAGCACAGCCATGGCACCCTTTCACAGCATCAAATAAGTCACTCTCAGCAGCCAGCTGCCGTGTCTCGAGCTTTATTTCCAAAAAGGCCTTTGTTTTCCCAAAGAAAACGAGGGGCTGAGCCCACCCCAGCCCCCCTCGAGCAGCCACGGCCTCTGGAGGGACAGCAAAGGGGACCCTGACTGTGGGACCAGCCGTGCACAGGGCCCTGCAGCCCCTTGGGGTCCGGTGGGGAGCCCCAGCCCAGCGCTTGGCTGTCACTGTCACCCTCACTGTGCCCCCACGCTGGTGCCTACCCCGCAGGGCACTGCTCCAGCCTGGCACCGGCCCGGCTACGGCAGGTGGGCACCAGCTGACACCTCCCCACTGCTCGCCAGCCTCGGTGGCCCTTGCGAAGCCCCGGGGCGGGTGGAGAGGAGGGAAGCGGCTCCTGCGGCATTGCCCGATGCTGCCGGGGCCCGCGCTGGCACCTCCTGGTACGGCCAGCATGGCAGTGGTGCACTGACCCGTGCGGGCACCCACGGTGGCTCAGGGACGCCAGCGCACCGCAGGGCTGCCCGCGCCCTGACAGCGGCTCCGGGTCCCTGGCTGGGCTCCGCGCCCGTCGGCGGGGCCGGGGGCGGCAGAGCGGGCACAGTCCAGCACGGAGCGGCACCGCCGGCGTCACTCGGCGCCAGCGCGTTCCCGCAGCGCGGGCAGCGTCAGCGTCTCCGGCGCCGACTTCTTCCGCGGGCGAGTCTTGGGGGGAGCCAGGAACTCGGGGGCCTCGTCGCTGAGCGGGGTGGAGGGGGCGCTGGCAGGGGCCGAGTGCGTGGCCGCGGGCTGCCCCACCTCGCTGACCGAGATGGCCGGTGCCACCAGGCCGATGAGCTCGTTGGTGGCCTCCTGCGTCTCCTGCTCGTAGCGCCGCACCTCCTCCATCGTCATCCCTGCCGAGCACAGCCGGGCTTGGGGCCGCTCGGCACGGCCGCGTCCGGCACCCCCTCATCCCGGGCAGCCTGCGCCCCGCGCCCCGATCCCCACCGAGCTGGGGGACAGGGAGGGGACAGGGACTGGGGACAGGGGGACGGGCAGGGAAGGGTACGCTGGGCATCACAGAGAGCTCCCCAACTCCAGCGCCAGCCCAGCCAGCAGAGGGGAAGGGATGGGCAGGCAACGCAGGCAGCGCAGGCAGGGGACACGCAGGGAGGGCAGCCGGAAGGGGGGACACTCTGCCGCGGGGTGCAGGGGGGGCACAAGCCCCCCTGCCTGCACCCACCCCCTGGCAGCAAGGTGGGGTCCAGAGTGTCCGTCCCTGGCAGGCAGAGGGGCTTAGGGGTGCTGGCTCCCCAGCTTTTGATTTGTGGCCACTTGCATCTGAGTCTCGAAGGCCCGGACCTCTTCTAGGGACATGTCTGGAAGGCAGAGAGCTGCTCACCGGTTTGGCCTGGCACCCACCGCCAGCTGTCACCAAACCTGTCCCTGTGCCCGCACGTGCATGTCCCTGCCAGAACGGGGGTGCAGGCAGCACAGGCAGGGTGCTGAGACTCCTCTGCCCATCCTCCCCAAGGGGTGCAGGGGAGCGTGCAGCGTGCAGGGGTGAGCTGGAAGTGTAGACAGAGAAGGAAGCACAGGCAGGGCAGGCAATGCAGGCAGCACAGGCAATACAGGCAGGGCAGGGAGCACAGGCAATGCAGGCAGTGCAGGCAGGGCAAGCAGTGCAGGCAGAGCAGGCACAGGCAGAAGATGAGCAGAAGCTGTGGTGGGGTCAGTGGCATCAGCAGTCTGACCTGCAGCCCCTCCCTCCCTGGGCACCGTGTGCCCCCCTCCCCACTGTGCTGGGGTGACCCCACGGACTCACCACACCACTCGTCCACCCAGGCGAAAGCCTGACGGTGTCCGATCAGCAGGATGTCCCGGATCACCTGCAACACCATAGGAGTCAGCACCCTGTCACTGTCCTCCCAGTGCCCCCCTGCCCCGCCTTGGGCCCCCCTCACCTTGTGCACAAACTGCTCCACCCGCGTCTGCAGCCCCCACACCTCGAACTTGACGCTCACCAGTTTGTAGGAGCACATGATGGGCTGGGTGTGCTGGCGCCAGCCCTCCCGCAGCGGCCCCCGGCCCGTCTTGGCCGAGCTGAAGAAACGGGGGTCCTGGGGGGATGGGGAACATCAGGGTCAGAGTCCCTCCTTGGGACAGGAGACAAGGGGTGGCTCCAGGGAACGCCCTCATCCCCAGCCCTGGTACCTCCAGGCTGCGGTAGTAGCGCTCAGGAATCTCATCGAAGGCGATGTCCAGGAAAGAGACCTCATGGTCGCCCAGGATTTTGTCACTGTGGAAGATCTGGGGAGGGGAGGGAGGGTGAGTGACATGGGCCGCAGGTGACAAGTTTGCCAGTTCTCAGCTGCAGTGCGCACTCACATTCTCGCTGTCCCCGCAGTTGTCCTCGTACTTGGTCTCGATGTAGATGGAGAACTTGGGCAGGAAGGAGCACTGCAGGGAGTGGCTGTCAGCTGCTCCCCCAGGGACGCCATTCCCTGGGATGCCCACCTGAGGGACACCCCACCCCGAGGGACACTCCAGCCCCAACCATGCCCATCCCCAAAAGATGTGCAGTCCAGGGACACTGACCCTGAGGGACATCCACCTCCAAGGATGATCATCCTCAAGGAACACCCAGCCACAAGGACACCCTCTCCAGGGGAATCCCATCCCCAAGGAAATCTGAGCCCCAAGGAATGCCCACCCTGAGAGATGCCCAGCCCTAAGGCCACCCACCCAAGGGCCACCCACCATGGTGACACCCACCCTGAGGGACACCCACTCCTAAAGGATACCCGTCCCAAAGGACACCCGCCCCCAAAAATGCCCCTCACAGCACCGCCATTCCAGCCATCTGCTGGGGGAGGGGACAGGTCATCCCATGCCACCTCCTTACCGTGTACTCTGCAGGGACACCATGGCACAGCGGCATCACAGGGTGGCATCGCCGGGTCACATCACAGGGGAGAGAGGGAGCAGTGAGACTGGGGGCAGCTCCTGCAGCCCCCCACCGCTGGGCAGGGACAGGGTGCCCCGGGGTGCCCATCCCACGCCCTGCCCGGGGCTCACCCGTGATGGTGTAGGGGTAGTAGTTCCAGGCCTTCTCGGTGATGTAGAAGATGCGGGGGGTCACTGCCCGTGCCCAGCTCGGCAGTTTGCTGTGGGCACCGTGTCAGGGGGACCCCCTCAGGACAGGTGCCACCCAGCCCTGCACTGCCAAACACAGCCTGGCTCTGGGGCCCCCATTGCCACCCCAGGAACCCCACCTGCTACCTGGCACCTTCGCCTCCACCCCAGGATACCCCCAGAGACCCTCACCTGCACCTCAGGACCCTCATCTGCATCCCAGCACCTCTCCCAGGAGCCACTGCAACCTCCCCAGCACCTGCATCTGTATTCCAACACTGTCATGTGCACCCCAGGGACCCCTGTCACCTCCCCAGGACCCTCACCCCTGCCCCAGCTCCTCACCATTCACCCTCACCTCCACTCCAGGATGCCTCCAGGGACCCTCACCTGCACCTCAGAACATCCCCAAGGAGACCTGTTACCTCCCCAGGAGCCTCATTTACAGCCCTGGATGATTACCTGCTCCTTACAATACCCTCAGGGACTCCTGTCACCTCCCCAGGGTCCCAGCATTCCGCCACCAGAGACCCCTGCCACCTCCCCAGCACCTTCATCTGCACACCAGGACCCCCCAGGGATCTGTGCCAGCTCCTCATCCCCACCCCAGTGCCCCCATCCTCTCCTCAGGTTCCCCACCTCCTCCCCAGACACCCTGACCCCCTCCCCAGGGAACAGCCACCCTCCATCCTGGACCCTCACCCCTTCCCCAGGACCCCTCCACCTCCCCAGAGCCCCCCCGGTGCTCCTGTCCCCTCCCAGCACCCCGGCAGGATCGGGCCCCCCTGGGGAGTCGGGAGGTGGGTTTTGATTAATTTTCAGGCGTTATAAATAAATTTCAGGCAAGAGTGAATCGTGAGCGCTGCAGCTAAAAATAACCTGTCTCACACCAGCAGCCCCTGGTGGGGAGCAGCCCGTGGCCGCAGGCAGGGGAGGGGACACGGGGACAGTGGTGCTGGGGGGCAGCCACTGCCCCACGGTGACACCCCAGGGCCAGGGCATTGCCAAGCCCCCGACCAGGCACCCAGCAGCACCCAGAGGTGGGTGCCCACCAGAGAGGGGTGGGTGCACCTCTGCAAGGTGGGTGCATGTCCTGGGGTGGGTGCAGCCCATGAGAAGAGGGCAGCCCCCCAGAGATGGGGTGAACCCCTAGGATGGATGGAACCCCAGGTGAACACCCTGGGACAGCTCCCAAGGATGGGTGCAGCCCTGAAGACAAGTGCCCCCCAGGAGATGGGTGCAGCCCCCCAAGATCAGAGCACCCCAGGAGATGGATACACCCTGAGAGATAAGGGCAGTCCCCAAAATTGGATGCACTCCCCAAAAATGGGTGCACCCCAGGACTTGGAGACCCCACTGGGAGACACAAACATGCAGCCCTTGGAGATGGGTGGGTGGGTGCTTGGGAGATGGGTGCAGCCCCCCAAGATCGGTGCAGCACCCCAGGAGATAGGAGCACTCCTGGGAAATGATGGAGGGAGCCCAGGAAATAATGGGGTTACCCTGGGAATCAGCCACTCTGCAGCGTGTCCAGGAGCCAGGATGGAGGTTCCCCAGGAATTTTGGAGGAAGAGCTGGGGCCACCCCGCTGCCTGCCCGTGCCCCCCACGCCGTGCCCCCCCCAGCAGCCAGCACAGGCTCACCTGGAGAGGTGGACACGCTTCTCAGTGAACTGGCCGGGGCCGTGCACGGGGTCCTCGTGGGGCTCGTTCTTCACCACCTCCACGCCCTCGCCCTTCTCGCTCTCCTGGTGGCTGTGCTTGCTGATGGTGTAGAGCTGCCCCACGCGGTACTGCAAGCGCAGAGCCCGCCCTCAGTGCCGCCGGCCCCGGCACAGCCTGGCGGCCGAGCCACGCTGCCGAGAGGGGAAACTGAGGCACGGAGCAAGGGGTGGCAGACCCTGAGCCGTGCAGCGGGCAGGGCGTTCCTGGGGCACCCTGTGTGAGCTCCCGTGTCCCTAGGCTGTCCCAGCTCCCAGGCGAGGGCTGGATCCTGATCTCCCTGTGCTCCCACTGCCTTGAAGAATGCTTGGAGGTTTTCTACTCGGCAAACTACCTGGGAGCCAGGGCAAAATGTATCTCTATGATATATGTGGATGTGTCTGTGTCAGTATATAGCCATAAGGGTGTAGATGTGCATTTGGTGATGCAGCTGTGCAATTAGGGTTTGACTGTTCTGCTGAAGATCCCATTCACCACCGCAATCACCAGCAGGATTTTACCATCCCACTCTGCCTAAACGAAAACCTTCTCCAGGTGCATCCAAGGAGGGATGACACCCCAAGGAGGGGTGGGCACCACTGTAGGTCCCCTCTCCCCAAAACGTCGGCACCACGAGAGACCTTTGCCCGGGGGTGCTGCCAGCTGTCAGCGCCGTTTGCCGATGCCATTCAGGCTCCCTGCCGGGGCAGGGATGGAGTTTATGGTCCCTGTCGTGCCACGGGCATCCAAACCCCAGGTGCCCTTCTCCTGCTGGTCCATCCCCTGGTCCTGCAGTGCCCCGGTGCTACCGTCGGGCTCTGTGCCCCGTGGTCGCCATGCCCAGGGTCGGGATGTCCCCCCACCCGCACCCCAAGGCTCGGCCCTAGCCCATCCCCATCCCTGCCACAAGCCGTGCCCCAGCTAAGGGGTCACCGCGTCCCTCCCAGGGCAGGAACCGATCCCCGGGGGCTGCTCGGGGTGTGAGACCCGCACCCCACCCCTCCATCGGCGCGTCCGTCCCCGCTGGCCCGGCGCGGCCCCTCACCTCCTCGGTGGTGAGCGGCATGCAGATGCGGTACTCCTTGACGAGCATGGTGACACTTCGGGCGGGGTGGCACGGGCAGGGTGGGCAGCACGGGGGTCAGGCGGAGGCGTCGGCGCTGCCGGGGACGCGGCTCATGCTGGGGACAGCGGAGCGGGGCGGACGCGCCGCCGCCTCCCACGCTCCCGTCCCAGCGCCCGCGCTGGAGGCGGCCGCCCGCTCGCCGTGACTTCACGAGCCGTTGCCATGGCAGTGGCGTGAGGTCACCCGTGCGAGGAGCAGCCTGGGTGTACCCAGCTGGGGACACCCCGGCACCCCAAAACCCTCCCGGTGTTAATCCTTTCCCTGCCAGGCCGACAAACGCGCCCCTACCCGGCTGGCTTGGAGCACGCCTGTCTCCCCAAAATAGGGTGCCGTCCCTTCGGGGTGCCACATCCCCAGCCAGCTGCGGCGGCCAGTGCAGCAAGAGGGTTGCAGGGACATGAGGATGCGGTCAGACTTGCCCGATGCCCCTGAGGACCCACCCCTGGGCACCCACACTGTCCTGTCCTGAGGGGTGCTCCCCGGCAGCAGAGGATCATGTCCCCGATGTAGGACATCCCTTGCCCGGGGAGGAGTTGGATCCCTTTCCCCAGCACCTGTCCCAGCCAGCACCCACCCCGGGGCTGCCCCCCAGCACCCACCACACCCATGGCACTGCCAGCCTGTCACACTCCTAGGGCTGGGGATGCTCGGAGTGAGTATCAGGACAGCTCAGGGGGCTCCTGGATGGACCCTCCAGCCCCACAGAGAAGAGAGGGGACGTGGGCCCTCCTGAAAGTCACCCTGCATGGGGGTTAGGCCTTGGAAAGGCAGATGGGAGCTCACATGGGATTTTGCCTGGAGGCAACTTGTCCAGCTGGGGACACAGGAACATCCTTGGGGGTACAGGGTCACAGCAGGACACAAAGGCGTCTTTGGGGGCACCGGGGGACACAGGAGTGTCCCTGAGGCCACAAAGCCATCTGAGGCTACAGGGGCATCCCTGAGGGACACAGGGACACCCTGCTGACAGGGCAGAGGGCTGGGTGCTGGTGCCAGATGCAGGAACCCCAATACCGGGGCAGAGGCAGCCCCGGCAAACGGGAGGGGACACGCCGGGGACTCACCGGAGCGCTGCAGGGCACGGCATTCCCCTCCCCATCCCGGCAGCTCGGAACGGCCCCGCCGGGTGGAGAAGGAGGAGCCCCCCGGCCGGGCTCAGCCGCCCCTTCCCCACCGCCGCATCCCCCCCGGGCCGGATCCCGCCGCCCCCCGCTGCCCGCACTCACCGGCCCGCGCCGGTGCCCGCTCCCACCGCCGCCGCCGCCGCCGCCGTGCCCCGGCCGTCCCGGGCCGTGCGCAGGAGCGAGCCGCCCCCCGCACCGCCTCCCGCGCCGCGGCACACCGACCCCTAGGGGGAGGAATGCACCGGCACCGCACCGGCACCGGCACCGGCACCGGCACCGGCACCGGCACCGGCATCGCACCGGCGCCGCGCCGGCACCGCACCGCGCCTGGACCGGCACCGCACCGGCACCGCACCGGCACCGCACCGGCACCGGCACCGGCACCGGCACCGGCACCGCACCGGCACCGGCGCCGGCACCGCACCGGCACCGCACCGGCACCGCACCGCACCGGCACCGCACCGCGCCTGGACCGGCACCGCACCGGCACCGCAGTGACAGCGACACCGGCACCACGGCACCGTGGCACGGCACCGAGAGACCCTCCAGCATCAGGGCTCCTCTGGCAGGGCACAGACCGGCACCGGGGCACCCCTGGCACGGCGCAGACCGGCACCGGGGCACCCCTGGCACGGCGCAGACCGGCGCCAGGGCTTCCCGCACCCACCAGGTCTCAGGTCCTCCCAGCGACCCCCAGCACCGCCCTGTGCCCCAGCTGGGAGATGCCCCGATGGGATGGGCATCCACCCTGAGCTCCTGGGATGCACCCCCCCGGGACCCCCCAAAGTTCCTCCAGCCACTCACCTGCCCCCCGCTGCCAGCCTGGCCCCTGTCCCCCCACACCTCACGTGCTGGCACTGCCCACGGGCCACCCACAGCCACGCGTTACCAGCACGGCTCCTCGCCAGTGACACCGCTGTCCCTCCCTGCGCCTCCCGTCCTCCTTCCTCTGCCGATTTCCATCATCCTGGGCATTGCTGTACTGGGCTGTGCCTCGCCACTGTCATTTTCCTGTTATTTCCTCCTAAAACTCTGCCATGCCCTCTAGGCCTGCTGCCCATCAGTGCCAGCGTGATGGCCACTGTGGGGACAGGGATCGGGCAAAGGGAATGCCCCCCAGGGCATCCTGTGGTGTTGACATCACTGGCACTGCGGGGACCCAGCACTGCGGTGGCCCTGGCACTGGCCATAGAAGTCCCACCTGCCCAGGCACTGGGGTACCTGTGGGCTCTTTCGTGATTGCCAGTCTGTGCCACCTGCTGGCGGTGGGAACCCCACTTTGTGTCACCCTGTGAGCCCCAGGGCAGCAGGGATGGCCCCAGGCTGTGGCCAGGACAAGCAGTGGCAGAAGGAGCAGCATGGGGACAGTGGCCCCAAAACCTGCCAGGGTGCCCCACGGGCACCCATCCCACATCCGGGAGCGCGGTGCCAGGAGCTCTGCCCGCTGGCACACCTTCCCTGCCTGCCCTGCACTGCTGCCTTCTTCCCACGTACCAGCCTTTGGTGTCACTGTCCTCCCGTGGGACAATGTGTGTCAGTGCCCCCAGCTCTGCTGGCACTGGGTGGCAGCCACCCCCCGTCCCCGTTTTCCCCCGGGAGGGGACACCACAGCAGCCCCCAAAGGAGGACTCCAGCCTACGTGGCTGGAACCAAACCCCGCAGGGCTCCCACTGGGGTGACTGTGGTGGTGACAAGGACCTGGCCATGCTGGTGACAAGTACCTGGCGGGCTGTCAGCCCCCCCAACAGCTGCATTCCTTCTGAACCTGTTTGGCAGGGCCTCGTCCAAGTACCAAGAAAGAGGCATCCGGGTTGGGCTTTTCCTGGTCATGCCCTGCTTCACCGCAGTGCGGAGTGAACAAGGAGTGGGAAGGAATTTCTGGAGCCTGGTGCTCCCACAGTGCTGCTGGTGTCCCCCAGAGTCACCCGCAGCTGCCAGCGCCAATGGTGCCCACCAGCTTCTTACCCCCCAGCAGGGATCCTGCAGAGGGTTGGGAAGGGGAAGAAAGAGGAAGCAGAAACAAGTGAAAAATGACCCAGTTTAATCCCAAAGCCCCCTCAAGCTCCAGAGTGAGCCCGGCGTGGCCCCTCCAGCCCCGTGTCTGTGCAGCCCGTGGGGCCCCGGGCTGAGCGCAGCCCTGGGAGCACCCCTGGCTCTCCGTGCAGCGCGGGGACAAGGAGCTCTCCGAGGCACCCGGCCTCTTCCTCAGCTCCAGCGGCAGCCCCGCACCGGCACTGGCCCCCAGCCCGTCCCACCACCCCCAACCCCGCCCCGAGCCCTTAGGGAGGTGCCCTGAAAAAGACCATCCTGGTGGAGTAAACCAGGTCCACCAAGTAGGCGATGAGGTTGAAGATGGTGAGGAAGGTGACCCCCAGGTGCTTGTTCCACCAGCAGTCCGTGCCGCAGGGGTCAGGGCGGCTCTGTCCCCGGAAGCTGTAGAGGGGCCACAGGATGGTGGCAGTGAGGTACATCAGCAGGGCCAGGAAGCTGTAGCCCACCAGCACCTTCTCCAGCGGGCAGGGAATGTAGGTGAGGCAGCGGCCGATGGTGACGATGATGATGAGGAGGGTGAAGATGAAGCAGATGGAGTAGACAGCCACGCACCACATCAGGCCAGGTTCTGTATTGTATTCATCCAGCAAGGAGAAGATCAGGCAAGCCACGTAGGCTTCAAAGACCTTGAGGAGCCCAGGCACGGTGGAGAGGAAGCTGCTGATGTCCCCGGGCTTGGCGCGGGTCAGCGACACCTCGACGGCGTAGGCGAGGAAGCAGAGGCAGGAGGCGGCGGTGGCCACGGCCTGCCGGGCACACTGGCTGCTGCTGCAGGGGCTGTGGATGAAGGTGGCAGGGAAGACCACCGAGGAGGTGAAGACCATCAAAGCGGCCAGCATGGAGAAAGCCGAGGTGAAGTCGTCCCAGGAGAGCGGCAGCAGAGGGTAGAGCTCCAGCAGCTCCAGCAGCAGCACCAGCAGCGTCACGGCGAAGCAGAAACACCAGGTGAACATGCACCACGTCCCGTAGGGACCCCCAAAGTGCCCGGTGGAGGCCACCAAGCTGAAGGTGAGGCAGGACAGCAGGACGGCGAGGAGCCGGGCGATGCCCACCCAGGAGGTGAGGGCGCGGAGGTTCACCGTGGCCATGCTGCGGCCGCTCTGTGCCCACGCCGCGCCGGGCAGTGCGTGCTGCCCGCAGCCACTCCTATCTGGCAGCTGGGGAAGAGGGGTGGGGCCCAGGGCAGGGAGCCACCAGCCCCTCCCGAGCCACCCGTGCCAGGGACCCCCGGCCCCGCTGCCGCTGCCACCACGCCGGGTGCTGCTGGGGGCTTGGCGGCGGGTGGATCATTAACTCGGGGCCGGGCAAAGGGTGGTGACACCGAGACCTGAGACCTTCCGTGGGGGCGGGCAGGAAGCCACCATGTGCCACCTGGCAGCGAGCCCCAGCCCTGCCTACGGCAGGAGGTACAAAAGGGCCTTTCATGCACCCCCAGAGTACCGGGGGGGGCACCCCGATGCTCTGACAGGCACCAGGGCTTAGTACAGCAGGGCAGCACCCACTGGGTGCCCCTGAGGGTTTTAGGGGCTGCACCCAGTATGGTGCCCCTGGCAGGAGGGTGCCACAGCTGGGTGTAACTCCTTCACACCCTTGCAGGCAACATTTCCACACCCCTCCGGCACCTCTGCTCCCCTCCCAGCACCTCCACCGCCTGATAAGTGGTTTAAAGTCCAGCTGTGCCAGCTGCTTGACTGGGCAGCGCGGGTGAGGCGGCCATGGGGAGGGCATCTGCACCCTGGTCACACCCCACAGGTGGCACAGGAAGAGGGTGGCACATCAAAAGTTGGGAGTCCAGCAGGAGGGTGAAGGCTGAAGGCTCTGGATTAACCTTTAATGTCACACAGGGTCCGGGGGTCGGTGCCCGTGGCAGAGCTTGGGGATGAGGGACCCATGTCAGGGCAGCTGGGCACTCTTGGGGGGTTCACCCCAGGCAGGTTCCTGGCACAGCCATGGTGGGCAGGGGTGGGCGCTGCCATGGGGTCCAGTGGTGATCTGGGGGGCACGAGGTGGCTCAGAGGTGGCTGCTGGCCTCGCCCTTGCCAGGCAGCCCGTTGAGGGGGCTCAGCCCCGGCCGGTTGCTCTCGTTCAGCCGCCGCACGCGGTAACTCTCGTAGTGGACGTTGTGGGTGATGTCCTTCAGGTCCTGCAGGTGTGACCTGCCCGGGGTGGCAGGGGGAGGAAGGGCATCATGTCGCTGTCCCCCCCATCCTGCTGTCACCCCGTGGGGTTGCAGCACTCCCTACCCTGCCCCCCGCTCACCGGATCAGCAGGTCCCGCAGGAGGGGGAACTCGCAGTGTGCTGGGTTCTCCACTGCAAGGCAAGGCAGAGGGGCAGGGCTGGCAGGAGGGCTCGGTGGCTCTGGGATGCCCGGGCAGCGCATCCTGGCACGCTCTGGGTACCACCGGAGCCCAGCACAGCTCCGTGCCACCCGTGGCTCGGCACCCACCCAGGCAAGGACACAGCCAGGGTGCTGCTCCCTGCACCCGTGGGTGCTGGGGGTGCGAGGGGCTCTGCTCACCTTCAATGATGCCCCACTTGGTCTTGCGGCCCAGCACCCGCTTGCCGTTCACCTGGTGCTCCTGGTCTGCCCCCACCACGGCAAAGGGAATCTTCTCCTGCCAGCAGAGGCTGTGCTCGCCCCGGGTGCTGCTCCCCTGGGCTCCCCAGGGTCCCTGTGCCCCACCCTGCTCCCCAGGGGCTGGCCCCCTCCGTCCCAGCCTCCCGGCACTCACACGAATCCTGTCGTTCAGTGCCCTGTCTTCGGGGTCCTGGTCGAAATCCTCCTGTGGGTACACGCTGATGGTGTGGGTCTTCAGGTCCTCCTGGATCTGCGGGACACAGGCCTTGAGCCGGGGCTGTGGGGACGTGGGGCAGCCCGGGAGCCCCTCGGGGACCCGTCCTCACCCGCTGCTTGAATTCTGCCCGTTCCTCCAGGGTGAGCGTGTCGGCTTTGGCGATCACCGGCACCACGTTGACGATCCTGCTGAGCCGCCGCATGAACTCCAGGTCCAGCGGGCGCAGCCTGACAAGGGCCACCGTCACTCCAGGGTGTCCCCACCTCTGCCACTGGGGGCTGACCCCACCACTGCCACCCCAGGGTCCCTCTGAGGTGATCCCAGCAGCATCGCCCTGAGGGACCTTCCCCACTACCACCCCAGGTTGATACCCTATCTCTGTCACCCTGAGGTGACCTCACCATCATCATCCCAGGGTGACACAACCCCACCACCGTGACCTCCCCGCCACTGTCACCATGGGGTGACCATACCACTACCACTCCAGAGTCACCCTGAGGAGTCTGCACCACCATCACCTCAGGGTGACTCCACCATTATCACCCCAGATTCCACCACCATCACCTCAGGGTGACCCCACCACCACCAGCCCAGGGTGGCACAACCACGCCGTGGTGACCCCATCCCCTACGCGTGCTGTGAGTGGGGACTCACCAGTGGCCTGTGGGGGGGACGAAGTAGACGCATCCATGGACCCGCGTGTCCGGGATCTTCCTCTTGCGGGTGATGAGGATCTCCTCCCGCAGGTACCTCTCGTACTGCTCGTTGATGTATTTGATGATGGGGTCCCAGCTGAGGATGAGGAGTTGAGGGACAGCCCTGAGCTCAACCCCTACCCCAAACTGCCACCCAGCGAGCTGGGCTCCTGCTCCCCCGTTGTGTCCTACCAGTTCTCATTGTTGATCTGGTCCCCAAACCCTGGTGTGTCGGTCACCGTCAGCTTCATCTTCACCCCCTTCTCCTCGATGACTGTGGGGCAGAGGTGGGTCAGGGGGGGAGAAACATTGGGGAAAAGCAGGGCACCAGGCGTGGGGGATGTTTTGAGGCTGTGAACGCAGCTTCAGGCCCCCAGCCCAGTCCCCTGCTTGTCCCAAGGGCTGGGGGGACACGACCCCGTGGTGGTGACCTTACCGTGGGTGATGGACTGGAGTTGCACTGTTTTGGGAATACGTTCCTCCTGGCCGGGCTGTGAGGATTTGCGGCTCACCTTGGACTTGAAGAGGGTGTTCACCATCGTGGACTTCCCCAGCCCGCTCTGCCCTGAGGGGACACGGGCAGCTCTGGTTTGTCCCCCAGGGCAGTAACATCTCGATATCCACTTGGGAGCAACCCAGAGGTTGGGACAACTCTGGTTTATCCCCAAATAAATTTCTTCCCCAAGTCAATAACCCCTTGGAATCCACTTGGGAGCATCCCAGAGGCTGGGATGAGTTCACCTATCAGCATTATATGCTATGTGGTACGGGATATTACTACTTTTCAACTGTTTGCTACTTAAATCAGTTAAAATAACTTAAATTTCCTTAAAATCCCTTAAAATCATGTTTTCCCTGGCATGGTGGAATCGGAGCCAGTGTTCCCACCCCACCCAGGAGCAAACCCCACGCCCAGCGCTCACCCACAACCATGATGTTGAACTCAAAGCCCGTCTTCATGGTTTTGATTTTCATCTGGTCGAGCACAGCTTCGATTCCCACGTATCCAAAGAGCTGGCAGCCCACGGGGCCGGGCGCCATGGAGAGGGGCACCGCCCCCTCCTTCTCCTCCTCCTCCTCCTCCTCCTCCTCCTCCGGCACGGCCGGCGGCTCCATGCTGCGCTCCTCGGGCTCCAGGCTGCTCCCTGCACCGCGGGGTGGGCAAAGCGGTGAGCCTGGACCCCTGGGTGCCCACCCCTGGGTGCCCACCCCTGCGGCGGCGGCGTTGCCCCAGCAGCCGGCGGGCACGCAGCCCCGGCACATTCCCGGGAGCCGGCGAGGCTCGGCATGGCAACGGGGCACGCCACCCCCCCGCCGCGCCGAAGGGTCCGAGGGGTTGCCGGGGGCATCTTTGGGGCGGTCGTGCCACCGGAGCCCACGGTGCCACCGGCTGCCCCGCGAGCATCGGGCACCGCGGCCGGCACCGTGCGCGCAGCCCGGACCCGCGGCGCCGCTCGGGCCCGGCACAGCGGAGCGGGGGCTCCGGCCCCGGGCAGGACGTGCCGCCCCACAGCGCACCCGGCACCGGGCACTGCTGCCCGGGGGGCACCGCGATCCCCGGCACAACCCCGAGCCCCCAGGGACACGCGGGGTCTGCCCGGGGGACGGTGCCCGGAGCGTGCCCCACACCGGGAGCCCCGTGCCCGCCCCAGCCCTTTGTGCGGCAGCCCCAAACCCCTTTCTTCCTTCTCCTCCTCCTCCTGCTGCTTCCCAGCACGGCCATTGTTCGGCTCCTACCTCGGCGCCGCGGTGCCCTCGCTCAGCGCCCCGTTAGGGCCGGGGGGGTCCCCGGGGCGCCATCCGCACCCCCAGCCCCGGCGGCGCCGCAGCCCGGCCCCTTCCCTCCGCCAGCTCCCGCCTGGCACCAACCCGGCTCCGCCGAGGCTGCGGCTCCCACGCATGACCAGCATGGCAATACCCGCCCCCCGCAGCCCCCTCCCCACACAGCCAGGCCCCTGCGCCCGGTTTGTGATGGACTGGTGGGTGAGGAGGGCTGTGCCCACCCGGCTGTGCCCACCCGGTACATGGCCAGCACGGATGGGGACCCCTCCCATGGCACAGGACACCCCCACCCCTCACTTTGTCCCCCATCACCCCCCGAGCGGCTGCGTGGCACTGAATGGCAGTGGGAGTGTTTGGCCGTGGGCACGATCCCCACTGGCACCCACGGGCACCGGGGACCACCCTGCTCTGTGCCCCCCACCCTCCCCAGCCCCGCACGGTGGGGTGGTGAAGGGGTGGCGGCCGTGCCAGCCGCCCCACTGCCGCAGTGCCCCACGGCGCTTGCGTCCCCCCACGCCGCAGCCTCCCCCGTATGTGCCAGCCGGCGCTTGGCACCGGCGAGGCTGGAGCGGCAGCTTGCGACGGCCCAGGCTGCAAGGGACCTGCTGAGACCGTGTCCGTGTGCCACGCAGCCAGGGGACAAGGGGCATGCGGGCAGGGGCTGGCCCGAGCCAGCCCGGGGTGCCAGGGGATGATGGAGCTGAACACCTCCATTGCCATGGCAACGGCATCCCGGCGTGGCAGCCACCCCGCCCCCGGTGCCCGCTGGGTGCCGGAGTGATGGCAGGCTTGGGGACAGCAGTGTCGCATGTCCCAGCTGCCCCTGCTCCCCCTGGGTCGGGATGTTCCTCGGAAGTGGTGAAACAGCCGCGGATTTCCTGGTGACAGCGGTGACACCCGGCTGGGGGCTGGGGGAGGGCAGGATGCTCACTCCGGCGGGGATCCACCCACCCGGCACCGGCCTTGCCAACAGGGGGTTCCACAGGCTGGCAGCGACGTGGGGAGGGAGGTCCCCATCAGGGAGAGGACCCCGAAAACTACTGCAGCCCCCCGTGCCCCCAGCCTGGCCCCCCTTCCCAGTCCTTGCCAGTCTGGCAGTTG